CCGTCTTGTTTATCAGGTAAGTTTAATAGAAGTTTACGTATGATTTTTAATGAAAGTAAAATCGTAGTTAAATTTTTACTATGTCGATATATATGTATGAGTTCATTAACATAGTCAGTAGTTGCACAAAGTATTCGTACATGCTCATATGATTGTACACATCGAAGTAGTAACATTAACCATTGATTTATGCCCAGTTCAATGTTAAATGTTGCTATTCGAAAAGAATTCTTTTGGGATTCTATCAGTTCGATATTATTTGATGATAATTGTTTTAGTTCGTTGAAAATCAATTGATGAAAGATAAACACTAGCTGTTGATCGAATATCTCTTGTGAATCATTGGTGAGAAAATTTTCACATAATTGTAAAACATACAATCGAAACCAATTGAATGCAACAAAATTTTCACGAAAAGAAACGTTGAGACAACTAATGAATGGTATAAATAATCGTTGGTGTAATTGTTGAATATCTGTTGATGTATAAGATAAATTCAGTAAATGGAAGACTATCATTGATTCGTTCATTTTCATCGATAGAATGGTTTCAACAATCGAATAATAAATTTCACTAATTTCATCTTTCCATTGAACGTTAGCGGCAGAGATATTTTCTAAATACGACCATTGAACATCTCCAGTCCTTAAATATGGTAAACAAATCGCGAACAGAAGCATGATATTCGGTTTTTGCTCAATCTGGCCGAGTTTTTGAATAAATTTATACATACATTTGTAGGTAATTAATCTAAGCATTGCTCGTTCGTTTTGACAAGACATCGCTCGAAGAAGTTCATTCAATTCGGATTGTATATCATTATTCGAACGATTACCATAAACATAATTCGCTATGGTTCGATGTAGAATATCCTCAATATTTTGATTATCTTCGAGCATTTTCTTCTTGTTTAATATGAATGTTTTTAATCGAATACATGCTTGAAAAGTATCTCGAAGTAATCGAAGTGACTCTTTTCCTATTCGTTTTTGTGAACATTTCTGTTCGAATATTAAGTTTTTGTCTAATTTTGTTGAAATCATGGATGATTCTTCATTTTTCGAACTTTTAATTATCGGAATGAGATGATTTGCTTTAACAGATTGAAGAAGAAATAAGCATTTCATTCGAATTTGTTCATAAAGCTGTTGACAATCACCGCCTTGTCCTCGTGTTGTTGCAAATATTGTTCGAATACGACTGGCATGGTTAAAAATTGACAAAAGACTCTTATGAGGTTTTGTATTGTCTTCTCGATTAAGCTCATCTTTAGCAAGATTAATTCGACGATAATGTTTAATATAGACAGCAAATAGATGAGCACATGCATCATTCGCTTGTTTTTCAATTGATTTTTGTAGTACACATTGTTTATCTTTAACTGACAATCGCATTTTGGATATTAATCGCTCACCTTGATCTGTATTATTGTAAATTGACATTAAAAATTCCTCATCGATTGATGTTTCTGCATGAAAATTGATTGGTGGTAATTGACAGTAAACAGCCATGTTTGATTCAAATAAATTCGATTGATTTATCGTCTCACATCCACCAGCAAATAATGGTGATTTTAATTTATCGATATATTTCATTTCGAAAGGGTCATTCGGCGGACCCATAATCAAAGTATTAATCATTTGTCCTAATAACCAATACATATATTGTATATGATCTTCCTTCTGATTCATATTCTTCAATATAAATTCGACTAACAACGGTAAAACGGCCATAAAAAACGATCGAATTGCTAAAAATTCGATTTTTGTCATAAAACCTAAACCAAGTAGAATCGATTTAAATAAATCATTCACAACTAATTGTTGTTTAAATATTTGTTCTATATATCGAATAGCAAGCAAATCGATTGTATGATCATCATCTGCGATAATATATTTATTTTGATAGTTGCCAGTTAATTGAACAAAAACAAGCTTTTGAAATCGTACGAATATTTTTTCAATAGACATTTTTGTTGTGATTATTGTTGATGAATTAAAATAAATATTCATTAATGAATTAAAAATAATCCAACTTGGACTTGTTGTCATTGATTTGAAATCGTGTACTAAGAGTTGAATCCAATTTAATAACATTGCATTGGTACTCAATTCAATTGCAATTTGTTCGATAAATACGGAATTTTTACTTTCAAGAATATATTTATGCAATAATGTTAATTTATCAATAAATGATATTGATTGTATATCGATTAAATGAATGATCGCTTTTGATGCTTGTCGACGAATATTCAATTCATACTTGTCAGTAGTCAATATCAACAAAGTATCAAACCAATGATGCAATTCATTGTTGTTCATAAAACGATTCCAATGCATACTGTAGCTAAATATAGTCGATGGTTTTTCCATATTATGCAAAAGATTTTGGTGATGATTTGTTTTCATTGCCGAAAGAAATTTCAAATGTGTTGTAAATAATTTCAAACAAATATTTCCGATAAATTGTTCATTTAGATTTAACTGCATTTGTCTCGTTGTTATTTGTTGAATAATGTTAAATAAGATTTTAAATGTTTGAGAATGGAATTCAAGTGAAATCGAACTGTTCATGAAGCTATTTCGAAATTTATATTGTGCATGAATCGTTTGTTGCAAATCAATATGAGCAAAGATTACGCATGCAACGATTTGTCCAGTAAAATTTTTCTTTGCGGTGTTCATCAGTTTGTCGGTAGGATAAACATTTATCAACTTCAAATAGTTCAAAGAATTTGTTAGAATATCCTCTAGAAAAGAAAGAAGACTAGACGTTTTTAATTTATTTTTCGAAACAATCAAATCTAACCTGTTGATAGTTTCGATGTGTCCGGGTCAGAAATAATTGAATCTGATCGATTGTATTCTTCCCATAGGTAACGAGTTTGTTCAAAGCTATTATTGAGTTGTTTGCATATATTTTGAATATCATAAATATGATCTGTATCAAATATCAGTTGTTGAAGTACACAAAGAATATCTTTGAGATAGACAGTATTATCTGGTATCTTTGATAGAATATTCAGGATTGATTGTTTTGAAGTTTGGGTAGTGCTTGCAGATGATGAAGCATTGCCGTGACCATGATGAACCAAAGTTGACATAATAGAGGACAGTTTTGAGCTAAGCAATGAGCCACGTTCATTTGATGCGTCGTTTTCTTCGTGCATTTTCTTCGGTTTTTTTTGTTTAACTCTTTCAAAAATGATTGATGTAATTGTTGTTTTTTATAAAGTAAATCGTTGATTTCTTTAATTACTTCTTTGAAATCATTGATTACCGATGGAAGAATACTTTCTTTGAATGTGTCACTTAATTTTGAATCGATGTTTTTCAATTCGAATACATCGGTTAATCGTAATAGATGCTGGTGAATTCGATTGATCAATTGTCTTTCGACGTTCATCACTCGATTATTCGAGGTGTCAGATGAAATGTTTCGAGATAAAAATAAATTGACATCTTCTTGTTCTTTATCATCTTTGGATAAGGTTGGAGCAATAGCAAAGTTAATTAATTGAGAATTAACGATGGACAAGTTCTGACCCATTTTATTCACTTTTACAAGAATCTGAAATGCTAAAACATATACAACATAGGTTATTTTTCTAAACGCACGTTAGTTTGAGCTGATGTTTTTTTCTTCTGTAGAAAAACAAACCTGTCGTCTTTAAACGGAGCGGGCAAACGAAAAAATGTGCTTCACGTACTGATGTTCGTTCTGTTTTCTCTCTGTTGACTATAATTACTACTTATTCGGGCTTGTTAATATATATTTTTTTCTTTCCTTTAAGATTTTATAATAGTGAAGCAAAATTATTCATTTAAACAGCAGTGAATCAAAGTAAGGTACATATTGATAAATGGAATCGATTTGATGAAGAAAAAAAACAGTTGAAAGGTAAAGTATTGAAAAGATTTTTATGAATGTGAACATGAGATTTGTATTATTTCGGGAATAAATAAATAATTATAAATAAGCTCAAGAAGAAGTTTAAATGTGAAATGTTCATTGCGATATCTATGAATGTTTGTTCATCAATCACTATTGGTAGTCGTATTAATGAAGATTGTATCTTGAGAATGTGGGTGGGTGTGAGTTTGATTGTGGATGCTTTTAACAGAGAACGCGCCGACACCATACGTCCAAACGCGATCAAAAAATCAATTTTAGTGCGTGTGGATGCAGCTTTAGATGTAACCAAATTCATACGCGTTTAAATGAAGTTTTTAAACATATCTGAATGCAGAAAGTTTTGTAATTAGATACCAACGGTGTGAGCGCCATACGATCATAAAGCAAGATCGCGGGCTGAATGTGAGCTCACAGCTTTGTTTGAGCATCACAACCGAAGATGATCGTAGTCCCAAATTCACAGTTAAATGTACAATCCGAATTTGAATTTATCTTCCGATTCTTGCAATTCTCTGATGATTTATTTGATTTTTTGGCTGCTTACGTAAGCGTTTCTTTCGTTATTTTCGCAAAATTATGAAACGTTAGATTGTTTTTTTTCTTGACTGTATAACCAAACCAAACATTCAAGATAAAGAACACGTGAAAAGTGATTGTGAATAAAAAAATAATGTTTCGTAATTAAATAATATTGACAGAAACAAGAAAAAAAGTTGTACTCAGCAAAAGATAATTGTATGTAAAAAAAACATTTTATGGCATCTATAAACAATAACAACTTTGTATTATTTCATCATTGGTCTGAAACATGAAACAGACTTACATCCATCTCATCTTTATGATAGAGGTGTTGTTCGTCAAAAAAAATGGGACGTATTGAGGTGCGGGCGTAATCGAGAAGATAGGTGAACTTTCACCCACACCTACTCTTAAAAACATAAATGAAATGAATAGAATTCGAATTTTCTCATTCCATCGGCGTACGATCACTGACTGTTTACATCACATTTTCTTGTTTAAAATAAAATTTATTTAAAAATCAAATGAAGTCTTTAAATGTCATGTGAAAAGTAGCAAGAAACGAATTAATAATAGCCTGTAATAGTGATGTTCGCAGCAGTTGAATCATAATTATAATTATTGTTCTTTCCCCAACCAATCTCAAACTGAACATAGTCGCCCATATTCAAATAAATCTGAGGGAAGACTAGTATGCCTGTGTTTTGATTGATCCACAACGATCGAAGCTCAACATTATTGATGGACAAATGTACATCTGTGGTTGCATCTCCATTTAGATTAGTAGCAGGTCCTGATGAAAAGAATACACCTTGCACATCGTAGAAACCAGCAGATGGGACTGTGAAACGAATACAACTATGAGAGTTTGTAATACCTGGATGGAATGCTATTTGACCAGGTTTAAAATTGAACTCGTTCTCCTTCTGTATATCTGCTTGTTTGTTCGAATTCATACCAATCCAACCATTATTACAATAGCTAGTACCACTCGACGTATTACGTGTATACCACAATGACAAACCTGACATTGACGCTAACTGCAGATTGCCGAAGTCCGAGTTTCCATAAACATTTGCCACGTATGTTGGGTACAACTGGAAGCTTAGATGATCATTCGGGTTAGAGAAACCGAAAGACCAATATAAATTAGGGTTTTGACGATTGAACTGATCATTTGGTTGGTAAGAGATCAATCTGGCAGCATCACCGATACTGATCAAGCCAAAGAGTAGGAATACGAGCTGATGCATATTTTCTGTTGACACAAATAAATGAAACTTTAACTACAAATCCAAAAGCGAAACGTTGTGTTTATATACGTCTATCGTCTTTTGTTCTTCACTTCCTTTAAACTGAAATTGTTTGGCAAACAATCTCTTGCACAGTAGCTGTGCGATACGTTTCTATGCGACTTAACTAAGTCATGAAATAATATTGCTTCAGGCAACATCTTGTATGAATGTATCATCAACAAAATCAAACAATCCGTATAGTCATACATTCCCTGCAGCATTAAGCAGTTGGAAAAAACCCGAATTATTTAAACTTGGTCTGTTTGCATAAAATCAGGTTTTTTTTGGGGATAGTGGATGTGAGATGAATACAATATTTGCATCGACACCCAGGTGTGTGAATGAGGGTGTCGGTGTGGGTGTGCATGTGAGTTAAGAGAAGATAGATATCCACACCCACACCCACATCCACACCCACACCCTTCTGTATTTACTCGTCAATGGCCACTTACTTGGTCAAAGGATCAAAAATAGATTTGTAAATCGAACCATCATGTTCTTTTTCGTCACTATTATCTCCTCATTTATTTCAAAAATAGACAATTTTTCATTCACATTCGAATCTCTACTTCATGCTATTTAGGATGAACAATAGAATGATATTGATACACAAATAAGCAACGAAATGAAAGTAAATTAGAAATAGTATGGACTTGAAAGAAACACAAGAACACCTTTTTGAAATGAGTAGTAATTGAGAATTGTGATGAATTAAAGAATGGAAATGGTATCTCTTCAGTCTTCTAAGATATATCGACAATATCTATCCCAGTTTTTGAGGCTAAATCATTCCATTGATTTTCCGTCAGTTGAAATGCTCTTTGATTGAGTTCCAAAGTTGATAAAGTTGCAAAATACGAAAGAAGATTTTCGATTTTCTTCACACTTAACTTTGAATCTTTACATCGATCAAATAACAGACAAAGGCTGGTGACACTTGTATTCTTTTGTTCATCATTTGCGTGCTTGTCTAAGATCTTCTCTCCAAAATCAGTACGCATTTCCAAATATTTCAGTTTTGGACATAGTTCATGTAAATAAATGCAATCAGATAAAGAGATATAATTGATTACAAATCTCTCTAAAGAAAGAAAATCGCTAATGTGATATTCAAACTATTTTCAATTGCAAAACTCACTAGATAGTAAGTTTAGAATGACGTTAAGAGAAAAACATCTCACTCTATATAGGGTGTGAGTGTGGGGTTAAGAGTGGCTATTCCTTTTTGTCTTTAACTACATTTACACCCTCTTCACTCGTAGAACGCTCTTGCAACCTCAAATGTCTTCCAAACTGATCTTTTCGCTCAAATCTCCACTAAACATCATTAACTATTTTTATTTTATCCAGCTGTACTATCGATACATTTCGATTCTTTCGTATTGCTGATTTTTGATCATCGAAAAAAAGCGAGAAATTTACCCAAATTTGATTGATTGTTTTGTTCTGAATCACTGCCATGCTCTTTAACATTTTCGAATATACTCTCAAAATCTTCTCCATCTGGATACTTTTTTTCACTGAAGAATATCAGCAATGTTTTTAATTTGTTCATTTCACAGAAAGCAATCGTGAAGATCTGACGAATGGCTTCCTGCTCTTGATAATCATCATTTGAACATTGTTCTGATGGGCATCCTTTCCAAGAAATATACTTCACATTAAGATATTCGATTGTTTTCTGCAGAGATTCGATACTAAATCAGAATGAAGCAAATGAATTTTTCTACGTTAGTGACATACTTTAGTAGTTCACAGATACTATCTAATGATGTATCTCGGGAAAATGTTAATGATTTTATATTACTGATCAAGTTTGTAAAGAGTCGATCTTGACACAATAAATCAATTTGAGTGCTCGTTCCGTTTTGAAGTGAGAGCACAGATTTACTTGAAAAAAGTGTTCCGATATGATAGATTGATGGAATAAACTCAGATGCTGGAACTTTTTTCAGATTTAATTGGAGATTTTCACATGAAAGAACCAATTGATTGTAACGTTTATTGAGATGATAGAATGTATGGTATAAAGAATAAAGATCAAATGAAACAAAGATATAACGAAGACATAATTCGTTGGGTAATTCTTCAAATTTTGTCCCATGAATATATTTGTTACATTTTGATTTTCTCTGATGACCATCACGTTGACCATGTTTACGCTTTTCTGAAATATCGATGTGAAAACAGAGTATCTTCTTAGCAGTACTGACCACTGATAAGGCAATAAACATCTCTTACCTTTTATTGTTCCCCTTCGATCCGTCATTGATAAACAGCTCTGCTTGTCTTGTAGCTTCTGAATACTAAATTGAATTGTGTAAAGACTTTGATTTCTACGATTAAAACCTATCATAGATAAGAACGGCGTTTTTTCTCAGCGAAATTATCTTTCATAGTACGTTGGATATGTATCCTATCGATCTTTTCTTTATCCAATGAAAAAATGGCTTAGTTTCTATCGTAAACTCGTACAATCATGCATTCAGATATCGTCAAATATTGACTAGAATGAGATTCTTCGTATTTCCTTTAAAAATATTCATTGAAGATCGATGAAAAAAACACAAAAAGAGATTCAAATCGAACGTCTAAGTTTCAAGACGTAATGCTTATCGATCTCATCTAGAAAAAAATCACAGAGAGTGTAAAGAGTGTCATTTTTCGTCAACGTTAATAGTCTACTGAGATAGATGACGAACCACGAATTTTTCTTTAAAAAAAGCACGAAAAAACATCTCAGAAAATGTAATTTCTTCTTACCAATGTAATTTTGATAGACTTTTCTTTTAATTTCGGTTAAAATGATGCATGCGTTATTTATATTTGCGGCAACAAAAAAAGAAAGGAAAAGAAATGAGAAAAATATCGATTTTCTTTCACTGTGTTGTGCAAGATTTATGACAAATAATTGTGCGAGCACATGCTGCGAAGAAAGAGAATTCAGTTTGACGATGAATGTAAACACCATCACGCGTCATCGTGTGCAAGGAAAAAAATGTAGAAACTTATAGTCAACGATTCGAAATATTCTTCTTTAATGACCATTTTGTTTTCTGTTTCTATTCGAACTGAATGCATTTTACCATCTTGAGGGTGGGTGTGAGTGTCAGAGAAGTTAAGTAGAAACACCCACACCCTTTGTATAAAATCAATGCGATTCTTAATAAGAAGAAATATGAAACATTGCAATGCACTCAACATAAAATATACTTTCAGCAAGCATATCTTCTCTTTTTCCCAAAGAACGAATAAAGTGAAAGAATGTAAAAAAAAAGCCATTTGTTTTGTTTCATCTATGACTCAAGCTACTCAAGAAGTATGCTGCATTAAAGCAAGCAACAATGAAATTCAGCGATGCCGATATTTTTTATTATTTTTCTTTCCTTCGCTAGTAACCAGGTAATTATACTGATAAGAAAACAATTCTGGGTTTTTTCCCACTGTTACTGATGTATAAATAACAGTAATAAGAATAGACACCACAATAGTGTTCGTTACAATATTAAATTCCAAACATCATGCTAGGTGAACAATTAAATAGTGCGGAATCGCGTAGTCTTCTATCGGCTATTGATAAGATGCGCGAACTCTTACATGGAGAAAAGATTACCTTACCGGAGATTGTAGTCGTTGGTGACCAATCTGTGGGCAAATCATCAGTATTGGAAGCTATATCTGGTGTTCAATTACCTCGGGCACAAAATATTTGTACTCGCTGTCCATTAGAATTGCGAATGAAAACAACTGAAGACAAGGAATATGCAATAATACGTGGCGCCGTTGGTTCTACTACCGAGAAACGTTTTGATGATCTAACAAAAATTGCCGATGAAGTTACTCGATTGACAGTGGAAATTGCCGGTAAAGGAGTCAATGTTAGTGCAAATCCGATTTATTTAACTGTATACAAACGTGATATTTTGTATGATTTAACTCTTATTGATTTACCAGGCATTACACGAAATGCATTACCAGGTCAAGCAGAAAATATTCATCAACAAATTTTGGATTTAATCAATAAATATATTGAGCCGTCTACTGCGGTAAGCACATTTTTCTTTTCTTCTGAGTGAGTTAAATCCAGTTACCATCTTGAAGATGTGGATCAAGAGATAGAATATTCACCCACACCTTGATATTATTTGAAGTATCGATTATGTTTGGTATATTTAGATTGTATTACACGTCATTCCAGCTTCAGTCGATTTTACAACATCAGAATCGATGAAACTTGCCAAAGTATTCGATCCATCATGTGAACGACAGTTAATTGGAGTTTCTAAAATTGACAAATACGATAAGGGTATTGCAGAAAAATTGCAAGGTCGCGGTCTAGGTTCTATGGAACTTCAATTAGGGTGCGTTGCAGTACTCAATCGAAATCAAAATGAGATCGATCAGAATATTTCATTCGACGAGATGAAACAACGTGAAGAGCGATTCTTTATTGATAATAAACAAGCATTTGAGCATCTTCCGGATGAATTCAAAGGTAGTAAACAATTAGTTAGACGTCTTGCTACCATACAACAAGAGCGTATCCGTTCAACATTTCCGGATATTATCAAAAGATTAAGAAAACAAATAGCTGAAAAAAAGGCTCAACTGAAAAAGATCCCAGCTTCGATGAATACAGAAAGTGAATGTTGGACTACTTTTCAATCAATGATTAATATCTATCGGGAGAGTATTTCTGACAATGTAAAAGGTGAGTACGGTCAAGTTGCATCGATTAATATCACCAATGTACCTACCACATCCAAGAATGTAAAAGACGAATCCGACAGTGATATCAATTTCAATTTTACGCTTTTCGAATCTGATGAAGGATCACTTTCAAACGAAGACGAAGATCATATCGCGTATCATATTTATCATTTACAACTCGAGTTTCAAAAGGAATGTAGAAATAGCTTTACAGATTTTTTTTCAAGCAACTATCAAAAAGTCGTGCTTCGTGAAATTGATCGAACTGCTGGTGTTTCTCTACCAAATTTTCCTAGTTACCAGATCATTGTCGGGCTCTTCAGAAAAGAATTACAGAAATTGCCAGATTGCTGTCATGAATTGGTGGAGAAGATACATGAGTATATGTCCAAATGCTTGCTACAATTATTCGATGAGGCATTTAGTAACGTTTATCGTCGTCTGAAAGATCGATTAAAAGAAGTTGTCATTAAACAGCTTAATGACGTTAAAGAAAAATTATCGGAGCGTGTCTTGGAAATACTTGATACGGAACGACGTGTATTTACACTGAATCACTATTACATGGACACGATAAATAAATTGAAGGAGAAGAACAAAGAGGAAAGTGATGACCATCAAGCATCAGTTAAAGCATCATTAACTCCAATGGCTAAAAATTCTATGAATACAACTGCTTATGCACCTGTATCGAATGAAGCTCAAGCAGCAAACGACATTCAAATTGCACTACATTCATACTCCAAAGTAAAATATTCCTACTAATTCTGGACAGACTATGTTTACACTATGGCTTCTTAAAACTAATCTATTTCAAATAGAATATTCAATAAAAGATTCATTAAGTTTTCTTTCTCGTTTAGGTGGTGGAAAAGCGTATGACTGATACAATTGCACAAACGTGTTACTATCATTTCATTACGCAATGTGCCTTAAAAATGGATCAACACTTGGTTGCTTCTATGCCTTCGTCGCAGCTGGTTCAGTACATGCGTGAACCTTACGCACAAACCAATCTGCGTAATAAGCTGACACATAGCATTCAAGCTTATGAAGAAGCATTGAATGTTGGTCTAGCATACATGTAAGGGTGTGGGTGTGAATGTCATCTTCGCCCAAGTCACATCCACCCTTTCTTATGTATTCAATACTATATATATTCACAACTTTTAACGTCACTACCATGTGACGTAAAGAAAATTTTTCAATGACTTCTTTTATTTCTGTAAACAACACACAATAAAAAGAATTCGTTTTTTTCGATTGTTTTCATAGTAACACAGAATAGAAATAAGATCGTGTGTAAAAAAACGATTGTTAATCGCATTTTTTCATCTAACAGAATTTTTAAATCAATCACATATGGGTGCTGAAAATTCAGTAAATAATAAAAATACGAATCAATCACTTACAACTTTAGAACATGGTCTTGAACAACGTCGTACTATTAGTCAAAAAGTTCGAAATTCTATCGTTATTTGTTTAAACACGAATACTGATGGTAAAACCAAAGATTGGCAACGAACTATTGCAGAATTACAACATACAGTGCACAATTGTGTAACATTTTCAGATAATGATCAATGCATTAAATTTACTCAAACTCTTGATGATCTTAAAGCATGTGTCGTTATCTTCGGATCAGTTGGACAACAATTTTTATCACGTATACATAATATATCTCAAGTTGAATCAATTTTTATCTTTTGTGACAATAAACAACGTTATGAATCTTTAACTAAAGTTTGGTCAAAAATCAAAGGTATTTTTACAGACACTACACTTATCTGTGAAGCATTAAAACAAACAATTCAACATTGTGAACAAAATGCTCTACCACTTAGTTTTATCCCTTCAACTAAAAATCTTGATCAATTAGATATTTCATTCGTATATACACATTTCATTAAAGAAATTATCCTAACAAGTCATTTCGGCGATGAAAATATCAAAGAATTTACTGCGTATTGTCGTGAATTATTTGCAGATAATGAAGAAGAATTAACTGATGTTAAAGAATTCGAAAGCAAATATCGTCAAGAAACACCTATATGGTGGTATAAGAAACATTGTTTCATAAATCCAATGCTTAACTGTGCATTACGATCAATGAATGGAGATCTTCTAACACGTATGGGATTTTTTATTGCTGATCTTCATCAACAAATCGAACAATCTAAAAGTGATTCATCATCTTCAACAAATTTAAAAGTTTACTATGGACAAGGTTTAACTAAAAATGATTTTGAACAATTAAAAAAAAGTCGAGGTGGATTAATTTCATTTAATAGTTTCTTATTAACCAATAAGAATTTAACAAGTTCACTTAATTTTGCAGAAGATATTTCAGCACGAAGTGATTTAGTAGGAATTATGTTTGTTATGAATATTGATCCTTCTCAATCAAGTAATTATTCTGAAATCAAAGATGAGATCTTATTTTCAATTGGTACAATATTTCGAATTAATGATATCAAACGATTAACATCAAGTAATCGACTTCAAGAAGTACATTTAAGTCTTATCAATGAAAAAGATAAAGATCATATTGCATTAATGAATTACATTCGACAAGAAAATAATTCAGAGAAAGACGGATGGTATCGATTTGGTGCAGTTTTAATTAAAATGAATCGTTTTGATAAAGCTGAACAAGTGTATCAGTTACTATTAGAAGAAACGAAAGATATGAATAAAAAAGCATCGATTTATGAACAACTCGGCTGGATTGAAGATAAACAAGAAAAATATTCTGAAGCAATAATATTTTATGAAAAAGCGTTAATAATCTATCAGCAAAATCCAGCAATTAATCAACTTGATTTAGCAAATTTATATTATAGTATTGCAACGGCTTATTCCAAAATTGAAAATTCTTCAAAAGCACTTTTATCTCATAAAGAAGCTTTAAAAATTCGTGAACAATTACTTCCTTCTGATCATTTAGATTTAGCCAAATCTTATGGGAATATTGGTTTATTATATGTCGATGCGAATGATTCTCCTACAGCATTGTCATATTTTGAAAAAGAATTTGCAATTAATCAGAAATTTCTTCCTCCAAATCATCCGGACTTAGTTGTTGCTTTAATGGATATTGGTGTATTGTCCTATAATACTGATAATTGTACGAAAGCATTAGCTTCGTTTGAAAAAGCACTTGAAATTCGACAAAAAATACTTCCTGATAATGATCTTGGTTTAGTAGAATCGTATAACAATATCGGTTTAGTATATAATCGTATGTCTGATCAACCAAAAGCACTTTTAAATCATGAAAAAGCTCTTGCAATTCGAGAAAAAGTATTACCAAAAAATCATCCTGATTTAGGTGAATCTTACAATAATATCGGTGTAACCTATGAAAATATGAATAATCATACGAAAGCTTGTTCATTTCTGGAACGTGCGATTGAAGTTGGACTATGTTCACTTTCAGCGGATGATCCAATTTTACAGTTACGAAAAGATAATCTTGAACGTGTAAAGGAGAAATTGTAATTTTTTTCAAGAAGAATAAAGAAGTTTGAGACATTGAAAAAAACATCGATTTATTTTACTTTTGTCACATATTAAACGCATCCATCGACTACAAAGAAAGTAAACTTGTTTTGCATTCATGGAAACATGTGCTCTCTTTGATTTGTATAGTCGTTAAATGTTTACGCGTATTTCACCGTTCTTTTTTCCATTCTTGTCTGAGTGCGTATCGCGCCGAGAATATCTCTAGTTTTTCCCATGAATCACTAGATAATGTTAACATTAGTATAATAGTTATAAATAATTTTTTATTATACTCCTTTATTCTTTTTCTCTCTGTTCTTCCGAGTTTTTTTTATTACTTCTTATCTTTTTCTTCATATACGGAAAACCCTTATCTATCGTGCACATGTCACCATTTAAAGGAATAAATAAATATTTGACTTCCATATAAAAAGAGCATACACATTATAAATAACAATTATCAATGAATGAAATAGTAGAAGAAACTGTTTTCATATCCCAAGTTTCAAATACGAAACATATTCATCGTCAATCCCATAATAATCAACATCTCAAAGAATTTATTCTATGGTTTGTTTTATTAATTTGTCTTTTACTTCTTGCTGGTCCATTTGCACATCATCTGTCCTATTCTGTACCAACAGTAAAAACACGAACAATTGCACGTCATGTATTTAGTGAAGAACGTGCTCTTGATTATTTAATTAATTTAACTCAATATGGATCAAGAGTAAGTAATACACGTGGAAATATTGATGCACGTGATTATCTTATTTCACAAATAAAACATATTTGTTCACTAAGTAAAAGCCATATTCAATGTGAACTTGATCTTCAAAATTTTACTGATTCTCAACACAATCAATTACAAAATATTCTTGTTCGTGTATCAAATTCAATTCAAAAATCTCAAAATATACCGAGCCTAATGTTAGCTGCTCATTACGATTCAGGTACGTATGTTTAGAAATTGAATCATTTGATGTAAAACTCTTTTGTTTCTGCTTTAATAGTGGAATTTAGTCCTGGAGCTGCTGATGATGGTTCGGGTGTTGTTATTATACTTGAACTTTTATCAAATTTAATTAATGATTTAACAATAGATTTTTCTAATGTTCACTTAATTATACTATTTACAAATGCCGAAGAATCAGGATTACAAGGTGCACTGGCATTTATTACTAATCTTCGTTGGCGCTCTAATGTTCGCCATTTTCTTAATATTGATTCAGTCCGTTGCACTGAACCAGCTAATCTAATGCGAACAACATCATCACAGGTATTTTTTTTCAGTCTAATTGACGTTGTACGAATTGTTTTTGTAGCTTGTCATGGATTATAGTCGAGTGACAAGACCACGTACGAATGTAATTCTACAGAAAACTTCAACGTGGTTTGGATTTAATACTGATTATGATGCTTTCAAATACAATGGTTTTCGATTAGGATACGAATTCGGTTTCTATCTTGATGGTTACACATATCATACACCACTAGATCATCCATCAACATTTAAACAAGGTGTTATTCAAGATCTTGGTGAAAATCTTATTATTTTGATTCGTAACATACTTCTTGAAAATAATCAGCAGATAGCCGATAAATACGATCCTGATCCTTTAATTTATTTTGATATTCTTAGTCGACATTTGATAATATATAAACTATCGACATCAATATTAATTCAAAAAATTTTAATTGTATTAATTATTATTATTGGTATAATTCGAATTATATTCGATCATATATATCATCGAAAACAAAATTTCTCATGTAATGGTTTTCATTGTATTTATTTTCAATTTAAAAATCCATTGACTATTCGTATTCTTTCTATTATTATATATTCGATTTCTAATATTCTATCTATGATTATTGGTCTTCTATTTTCATTGCTTTTAGCATGTATGATATCAATAATTCAACCTGCTTCATGGTATGGTAATTCAACATTAGCCATATTTCTTTTTAGTTTACCATGTTTAATTGGTTTTATTATTTTTCGATACTTATTCGATCTATTACATGGTCGTATTCTTCGAAAATCTTCTCAAAACTCAAATGAAATTCATTTCGATTTTGAACAAAATTTTTCTGTTCTTATCGTTTATAGTTTATCAATGATTATTTCAATTTATTCTAATTCTCAATACTTTTATATAACTCTTATTTGGTCAATATTTATTTGTCCATTATATCTTGTTCTTATTATTATTGAATTTATTCTTCATTGGAAACAAATCTTTGAAAAAAACGCTCATCAATTATATTTACCATTGTTAATATCTTTGTTTCCATTGATACATACAATTGAAATAGTCAATCGAATACTTCGTATTTTTATTCCATTTGTATCACTACGATTTTCATTTGGATGGATACATCGTGGGAATATAATTATTTGTAGTATTGTTGTTATTCCTACACTATTTTTTCTTCCAATATTACAACGAACAAAACAATTTCTTCATTTAATAAGTATTCTTTTAATTAGTTTTTTTATTGTTCTTATTGTTGCTTGTATCCGTCAACCATTTACGAAAAATCATCCAAATACGTTTTATGCTAAACATACATCAGAATCAATTTATAATGCAGAAACTTCAATGAATAATTCATTTGATGTTTCACTTATATCACAACAATCATCTATTACAGTTAATACATATCATGGTCTTGTTCTATCACCTATACTTGATCAATTTTCAATTAAAAATGGTCATAAATTATATAATAAAACATGTTTTAGTTCAACAAATTGTACATTTGATGATAGTTTTAATCGTCAATTAGCTGTTGAACATATTCAGATTGAATCAATAGACGAGAATTATTCAAATTATAGAATTCGAATTCAACATGTATTATCTTATAATATTCAAATTGCATCATTATGGAATATTGAATTAACTGTTCAAAATGAATTGGATATTCCAAGAAAAGAAACAATTATTGATATTAATCTACACTCAACAATATCTATATTCGAAATCGATATCAAAATTCAACGATGTGAAATACATGATTCACCATTTTTATTATTATTTACTCGTTTAATGTCAAATATTGTACTTATGGGTGAAGGATTCTGTCATGCAATTGATGATGATACTACACTTATTATTAATCGATAGAAATATTTTATTGATTAATCAGTTGTATTATTAAATGAATTTAAAATTCTTTTTTTTTGCTTCTGAATATTGTTTATTGAACACCATGAGGAATAATAATATTGACTGCTAATGCAAGAGAAAAAATTCTTTTTTTTGAACAGTTTCTTCTTTGAAGATAATTGGATAATTTATTGCATGGCAAATATATCATAACGAGAAAAATCTAGTAGAAAATCATAATTCTATCTTAAAATTTAAAAAAGATACACAAAGAGAAAGAGCGAATGCACTCCCCGTTTGATTCTATGAATATGTGAAAATACATTTTAGAATCTTTATCTATTTTATGAATACCGTTGAAAAAGTTATGTTAATCCTTTATTAAGTTAGTAAAATCATACAATAAGAGTAATCGTTTAAAACAATTTTATTATAATGATTTAATGTGTTTTCATTGCAGTTTATAGGGCTTTTATGTAACTTCAAAATTTTAGACATTATGATTGGCTAGTCGTATAAATTTTTTTGTACCATTGTACTTTGAAAGATGGATTTATAGCGTACTTTCCAATTATCGAATGAGATCAATATTGAAGTAATTATAGATCAGTCACTCAATCTTCTTTCTAACTCCCGATCCTAAATCCTGTGGCTTTTTAAAGTTAACTTCACGGTTGACGTTTACCACAACTCATACATTTGAAGTTGCGGATGTCAATATTTTGATACTGATTGACTACAGTTATTATCTGGAATAATCATATTCTGTCTCTAAAACGTTTTCTTCAAGTAATTCAGATTGTTACACAAAAGAAAACGAAGATTAAAATATATTATGCATATAGACAAATCTCGCGAGCACGTTTTTCGTTCTTTCTTCTTATTAGCTTCCAAAATAATACGGGATGCAAATGAAAAATATTTTTTAATGTTTCGATCACAAAAATAATCTATTACTTTCCATCTAGTCATTAATGTATTTATTTACACCTTCTTTCTTATACTTTTTCAGTAACAAAATTATTCTTGCTTGTAATTCATTTTTTTTCCATCCGAATAATAAATTTACGATCAAGTTGATGAAATATTTATATAAAAATAAAAGTTTCATAGTTAAATGTAGAATATCAGTATTGCAATAATTGTTTATCAAATATTGTAAAGATACTGATGATGAGGAATAGAAAGAAAAAAACATGAAATATGTCATTCTAACAATAATTCTAAAGGCAGTCTGCGCCTTACAATTATATAATGAATAATATGTGATGAGGATGCATTCTTTTGTAAATTTGATTACATTGAAATTTTACTGAACTGCTTCTCAACAAGAGTAAAAGATTTATCAAGTGTGGGTGAGGATCATAGATTCAAGATACCCACATTCTCACCCACGTCCATGGATTCAAGACACCCATATCCTCACCCACAGCAATGTCTAAGGTTTATATTCTATAAACATGCTCTTTCGTTAATAATATTGAAAACTATTTTACATTTTATTAAGATTTTTATATTGTTTTTTTTTGCGAGTAAAAGTATATAAAGGTGTATAGATTGAGACAACATTAGTAAAATAGGTATGAAAGAGAATAGAATAAAATATACCCACACCTGTTAAATTCATGCATCTCATTTTTTTTCTTCCTTTCTCTTCGAAAATAAATAACAGGTGAGTAGAAATGAATTTACATACAAATCCTCCCACTATAGAGTTTATTTCACAAAGGGAAAAAATATATGTGGTTTATATAAAAGAAATATGTAAGATTAAGACATTCCATTTCACTTTTACGAATTATTCTATACAGAAAAAATGTCCAAATATCGTTACATGCAACAACAATCAATTGAAGATGCTATGATGATGATTGATAGACAAGATTCAAATGGAGGAGAGAATCAAACTATTTTGTTCAACAATTTCCTATTAAATGATCTCGTGGATAATGTTAGATGTGTGCCCTTCGATAAAATTATCAACACATATTTAGTAAATGATGGTAATAAATACAGATTTATCATTAAAACGAATGATATTCCATGGTTTTGTACTGCAGATCGAAGAACACTTCATGGTCGAACGATTTTTACTTTTCGTTTTCCTACTTTAAGTGATCCTGATTCCTACGAAAAATTTGAATTAAAAAGCAATTCGCTTTTTATGCCGTCAGGAGGAATCTGGCACGAAGTAGAGGGATGGTACGAATATACTGCATCTAATTTATCTTAATATCTTTATGATGTACTGTCTATTTCTGAATTACATATTGAACACTGTAGAACAAGAATTTTTGCCAACAAACAATACGAACGAACAGATATTGTATTCAATCTTGACAACACCAATCGACGAATCATATTGACATTTGAAGCTGGTGAACCTGCACGACCACATCAACAAGGAACATCGTATTGATAAGAAGATACCATTCAAAAATCGAACAGCTTTCTCGATGTCTGTAACACTCTATTGTCTATCTTTCGTCTCGTATTCGAACTCGTCATACTCGATTACCTTTCGTGAAGTTTGATAGAAAAGAATTATTTTTGTCTTTATGTTTTTTTTCAATCGATCAATAAAGTACGGATACACAAACAAGCAATTAAGCAAATAAATAATTTATTCTTGTGATGCTTCTCTTGACAACAAAAGAGGATTAACATTTCTTTGATAGATTGTAGACTTTTTCATTCTGCATCTCATGATGTATTTCATTAAAAAGAAAAAAAGCATTTGACGTATATTGAAAACGACTTTTTCTCAAGATTGAAATTCGGTAGGTCTAAATAATGATCACTTTAAAAGCAATCTTAAATAAATTGTAAAACTTTTTACGCTGAATCTTGTGAAATGTTTGGTCTTTTTAATACAATTATTAAGACGTCATTTTTTAAGAGACTTTTTATTACCAAAGAAATGTTCTAATACGAAATATTTTTCTTTTATATAAACAAGAAGACATTACTATTAATAGCCAAAAAATCTACTCATCAGAATCTAAAACTTTCACAGTTTCATAGCAAACTCGAAAAGTCTGTGTTTTGATTCTTTTTTTGTCTCTGTTTCTCTAGTTGAATGATCAATAAAGCACTTTCTCTCATAAAAATCCTGCGGAAATTGCATATTTTACGCGCTAGAAAGTTACATGAAGTTATACCCATCCACACACTTTCTGTGTCCTCGCGACATCAAAACAATATAGAAATAATAAATTCAGAAGTATTTGTATGTTGTCTACCATTAGAATGTAATGTCCTTTTATCCATTCTGTAGTCTGACAATTAAATTTGACAAAATAAACAATCATTCACCATTCACTACTGCTTCAGTTTTTCTTCTGTTAATGTAAGAAGTCTTATATTCAAATTTCCTTTTTTTCTCGCCTGAAAATCAAACACTTCTATGATCAAACATCAATTCACTTATCCTGAAAGCTCTTAAATCAAACACATACAGGTATAAAAAGAAGAAGAAAATAAGTTCTATACTCACTCTAAAAATTAACACATTTAATTTCAGCTTACTCTGTGATTGAGTATTTCATTACACAAAGAAGAAAAAGAAGAAGCAACAATTGTATACTGATCAAATGGAGCGGATTTTGCGCCTTTTCCTTCTAGCTTTGTGTACACTAGATACTGCAGTTGATGGAGCACATTTTCGTGGTGGTATTATTTCATGGCAAGCATACTTAAATAATGCTTGTTCTTCTAATCAATCTTGCATATTTTAATTTTTACATTCTTCTTCTTCTTCTTCTTCTTAGGCGTCCATTAAACAATACAGTAACGGGCAACACTACACAGGTTCTCATACATCAAAGGTACTTTTGGAATCGACAATGGGGCAGTTTTCCTTCCCCTAATTGCATGGAAGCAAATGTTGCTTCTGAAACACTTATTCCAGTCAATTCTGCGATGCTCTGTTTAAAAAACTGCTCAAGTTCTAACTATCCTCCAGGTGGACTTTCAACTGTTATGACAACTACAGATTGTGACTCAAACCCAATAATTGAATCATGGGCTGGCGAAAACTACACTACTTTGACGCTGGATTTGACAACATCGATTACAATTGGCTTTAACTCGAGTGCATGGTTTGGCTCACTCTATACGGGTGGTGGAGATCCATGGTCAATTGTCAATCGATTGAATTTAGCCCCAAGACCTGATGGCTACATCAATACCAGTCCTGTTACAAATACATTGCCAGTAGTATTTTACCCAATAAATACACCAATAGTTCATATTGTACAAATGGCAGATAATGATGCTACTGATATATTGCAATGTCGTTGGTCCAATGCAAATTCTACAAATAATTACAATGGAGTTGATGAATGTCAAGGTATCTGTTACGGACTGCCTCCTGGAACTGTCCTCATCTCGTCCAATTGTACGTTATCTTTCATTCTACAAAACGCTAGTCTCTATTATGCTTGTGCACTTCAAATTGAAGATTTTTATGACGCTAGCTCCACGACTCCAATGAGTTCAGTTCCAATACAATTCCTATTCTATGGATATACAGCTGCCTCAGGTGCGTGTGCACAACGTCCAAATATTACTGGTATCCGTCCAAATAGAGGTATGAATGTGAATTCTTTTCTAAACTAACCTCAGGCATTTAATAATACTTTCTTTTATCTATTGAATCCTCTTTAGCATGTATTGGAGTTCCAGTTGGTAAGTGCAGTGAATGCCTTTTCTTTTCTGATATTGACAGCCTATGTTTTAGGTGTTCAACTGAATGAAACTATAGTTATAGAAACATATTGTCCTGGTCAAACAATTGTTGATTTGGTCACTAGTTCACCTATTGGAATGACACATAGTGCTATTAGTAATCCAAGTTCTAGTAAGCAATTGATCATAGCTTGTTAGAATGTGAAAACTTTTCAATCTGAAATATGATATCATAGATATGTGGGTAATGACATTGACATGGACACCCTCAGTAACACAATCTGGTCCTCAAGGTTTTTGTGCTGGTGCAATTGATAATAGTAGTCTA